AGACTAGAACTCCCCATCTCCTGGTGGTTGGCCCAAAGTCACCCAGCTAGTTTTATGTCTAAGATGGTACTAGAACTCACCATCTCCTGGTGATTGGACCAAAGTCAACCAGCCAGCTTTCATGCCTGGGGTGAGGGGGGACTAGAACTCACCGTCTCCTGGTGATTGGCTCAAAGTCAACCACCTAACCAATTTTCAGAAACCGCCAATCCTTGAGACCCGACTTATACTCGCAGACTTGCACACATTCCTTAGACTAGTAAGTGTAAGTGTAAGTGGTGGTGTACTCACCACCACAAGTAGGTATATCCTGAACCCTCTTCTTAAAAAGGCACTTGGGAAAAAAAAATTACGTCAAGTTGCAAAGAAAGGAACCAAGGAACATTTCTCAGCACCCACTGAAATAAGAAGTCTATCTTTAGTTGTAAACTTTTGGTCCTGGCTTTGATGAGGCCTAATAAAACCAAATTTCTCCAACCCAGCAAAAAATGGCTCCAACCACGACGCCCATCATTCTCAGCCGAGAAGTCCAAATGCTTGTGGGCAGCCTGGAATCATAACGATTTATACCCCTGTCCAATTTTGGGGGTGGAAACTGAATCTCGCGGTCATTAAAAACTCTAATTTTATTCCAACGCCGCTCAAAAGCTGCCATTTTACAAACAAATGTAAATCAGGCTTACGGTTTTGGCAGCGGCTGCCGCCAACTCCTTGTACCGAATCTATGGCTTTCTCCTCCTTTTCGTCTCTATCAACATCTTTTACTTCTTTTCCGGCTTTTCAATTCTTCCTTCGGTCCTGCCAGGTTGGAGGAAAAGGAGGCGAGACTCATTCTCTCCACTGGTACGCTCCATCAGACGCCGAGAAGGGAACACACATCGTGGGATAACGGCATTTTAATACGTTTAAAAGAGATTTTGATTTGCTAAAAAATAAATAAATATCGGGCGCCCGGTACAAGATGGATTTGGCTCCAGAAATATCACAACGAACCAAGCAGAATGGAGATTCCTTCAAGGACACGACGGATTGATTTTTCTCGCCTTGCTGAAATCCGCAGCTAGGTCTCTGAAGTTATAGGGAGTCCTCGATTTACAGCGTAGATTTAGTGACTGTCCAAAGTTATGATCGCACTGAAAAAAAAGTGATTTATGACCCTTTTTCCCCACTTGTTGCGGCATCCCTGTTGTGGCCAACCGATTCATGTTTAGGATGGTTGCACAGTGTCCCAGGGGTCGTGTGATTCCCCCTTCTGACGAGTGAAGTCAATAGGGGAAGCAAGATTCGTTTTACAGCCTTGCTCCTAACTTAACAACTGCCAGGATTCACTTAACGACGGAAAGAAAAAAGGTGGTAATATGGGGCAAACTCACTTAAGAAATGTCTGCCTTCGTTTTCCCCTTTGCTCTGTCTCCTCCATCCCTCCCTCCTTTCCTTCCTTCCGTGGTGGCACAGTGGTTAGAATGCAGAATTGCAGACAAACTCTGCTGACTGTGAGCAGTTCAATCCTGACTGGCTCAAGGTCGACTCAGCCTTCCATCCTTCCGAGGTCAATAAAATTAGGACCCAGATTGTTGGGAGGAAAGAGCCTGATTTTGTAAACGGTTTTGAGAGGGCTGGAAAGCAGTGTGAAGTGGTATATAAGTCTTAAGTGCTATTTTCTTTCTTTCCTTCCTTCCTTCCTTCCTGCCTGCCTGCCTGCCTGCCTGCCTGCCTGCCTGCCTGCCTTCCTTCCTTCCTTCCTTCCTTCCTTCCTTCCTTGGTGGCGCAATGGTTACAGTGCTGTACTGCAGGCTACTTCTGCTGCCTGCCAGCTGCCTTCAATTTGGCAATTCAAATCTCACCAGGCTCAAGGTTGACTCAGCCTTCCATCCTTCCAAGGTCAGTAAAATGAGAACCCAGATTGTTGGGGGCAAGAGGCTGACTCTGTAAACCGCTTAGAGAAGGCTGTGAAGCACTGTAAAGCAGCATATAAATCTTAAGCTCTATTGCTACAACCATTGCAGTATCTCTGTGGTTACCTGATCAAAATTCTGATGATGACTGTCCTGGGATGTGTCCTGGGATCCCGCGATCCCTTTTTGCTGTCTGGAGCAACATTTTTGGGGTCAAGAACATCCAGAAAGCCAAATGATTACGTAGATTGTGAAATCTGGAAGAAAAAACCAGCTGTTTCTGGAATAAACAGGGCTTGTGCGCATCCAAAGGGCGACATCCGCTTTGAATCTTCCTGGATTGGCAAGAGTGCATGCACTCACACATGGTCTGTTCTTTGAAGATTAGCCAAGAGGAGAAAAATCATGTTGAATCAGACTTTGTAAATCACTCCAGAAATATTTGGAAAAAACAACAACAAGGGCCTCACATAAGGATTTGCAGAAAAGAATTGCACTGACGAAGATGGGGACCGGTCTGCCAATGTTGGCTTCTCCAAGTTTCTTACTTGGACAAATCTCTCAGAAGTTCCCTTTGTTGTTGTTTTCCGGTTCCCGGTTCCAGTGGACCCCGCTTATAAAATTTTGAAAATGTGTGTTGCTATGGTCTAATTCCTGGTAGCCTGCATCATACTATACTGGTAATAAAAAGCAAGACAATCCACAATGCCCATATTTCAGGAGTCGTAGTAATATGTAATTCAACCAAACCTTAATAGGGATTGCTAAGACTTTCATCTGATCAATCACATCCCTGCACTAAAAGCATTCCTAAATGACTTCATACCTGGGTTTTGTCCATCACCTTAATAAATGGGCATTCTTGGGCAGGAAGGCAGATGGTCTGGCCTCCATCTATTGCTGTCATCCCTGCCTAACAAATAGAATAGAATAGAATTCTTTATTGGCCAAGCGTGATTGGACACAGAAGGAACTTGTCTTGGTGCAAATGCTCACAGTATACCTAAAAGATACATTCAAAGCAGTTCAACCACCCCAATAGATAGAGAGCAACACCTCCAAAAATCCATTGCTCCATGCTAATTTAGAATTCTCCAAACTTGACCATTTTTAAGACTTGTGGACTTCCAACTCCCAGAATTCAACATGGCTGGCTGGGGAATTCTGGGAGCTGAAGTCCGCAAACCTTGAAAGTTGCCAAGTTTGGGGAGGCCCTGTGCGAAATAATAATACTTAAATTAAAATAGATGAAAGGGAGCCGTGCCAACAGTTTCATCAAATCTTGCACTGCTGTTGGTAGAGTTACTTATTTCAATCAGAATAGAGCTGGAAGGGACCTTGGAGGTCTTCTAGTCCAGCCCTCTGCATAAGCAGGAGATCCTATGCCATTTCAGACAGGTGGCTGTCCAATCTCTTCTTAAAAACCTCCAATGATAGAGCACCCACATCTGGTGGCAAGCAGTTCCACTGGTTAATTGTCGTCACTGTTAGGAAGCTTCTCCTTAATTCCAGGTTGCTTCGCTCCTTCATGTAGTTTCCTTGATTACTTGGTTAGTTTCCGTCCATTGTTTCAAAACACTGTTGTGTTCGATTTATGGTTGGCCACCTAGTAAGCCAGATGTTTTGTTGACTCTTGACGAATGTATCTTTTATGTACACTGAGAGCATTTGCACCAAGACAAATTCCTTGTGTATCTAATCACACTTGGCCAATAAAGTATTCTATTTATTAATAATCTATTGATTTGATTCTATCATTTTCCTTTATTTATTATTAAATTTAGATGCTGCCCATCTCATTATCAAGCAACCTCTGGTGGCTTATAAACGTCACAAAGACTAGGGTAGACAACCTAAAATATTAAATTGATATCCCATTGCTCTTTCTGGAGTTCCAGATTTTGATGTGATTTTAAAAACTGGGTGGGTTTTTTTTTTGGATGTGCTTACGTGCAAATGGGAGCCAAACTAGTCTTTTCCTTGGTTGTCTGTTGTTTAAAAAAAATATGTGGAAATGTTTTTACATGCAAATATTAACTAAATGATGCCCCAATCTGTCTTAGAACAGCTTCTCTGCATATATCCATCTAGTTCAATTTTCTCAATCTTGGCCACTTTAAGACGGGTGGACTTCAACTCCCAGAATTCCCCAGCCAGCCATGCTGGCTGGGGAATTCTGGGAGGTGAAGTCCACCCGTCTTAAAGCGGTCAAGGTTGAAGGAGGAGTTTGTAGGAACCCTTTGCTCAGTGTGTTGTGGCTCCCAGCTTCCCCTTCCAAAAATGGGGCGCCAGGAATTCCATCTATAGGGAATAATGGAAGGCCCTCAGGATATCGGAAGGGCGCCGGCCTTCCCTTCCAGAATCGCCGTTGCTAGGAGACGCCGTTTTCCCCCCCCTCCCCATCCCGGACCTCGCAGAGTCACCTGACCAGACGCCTCGTCGCCCATTGGCCGCGAGTAAAGCCACGTGACCCTCGGCGCCTCCTGGAAAAAGCGGCCCAGTCGCCGTTGCTAGGCGACAAGGAGCGAGGGAGGTTGTGGCCTGGTCGGCCTTATCCGTCGCGGCAGGTAAGGCGGGCGATGCCCACCGCCCACCCCGCCGCTGGGAGGACCCGTGGAAGGAACTCCCGGGCCCGTCGGGTGTGGGCGATGGGAAGCCGCCTCTCCGACGCCCTGCTCCGGCTCGACACCGTGTTGTGCCGGACTACAACTCCCATGCTCCACAGCCATCCCGGTGCGGGGGTGGTGGTGGCGGGGGCTGCTGGTCCTTGGAGTCCAACACCCAATGGGAGGGCGGGGAGAGGCGTGCTAATCCCCGCAGCGACAAATCCCTCAGCCATCGTCGTGGGGGGAGCATGGAGGTTGTAGTCCCATGCATCTGATGGGCCAAATAGTGGGAGGGGGGAGTGACTTTGAGTGGCACTCTGCATATGCTCAGGGTAATTGCCTAATGACGTGTTCTTGACCAGCCAAGGAGGCCAAATGGTTTCTCAGCATCTCTGCTTGGGAAAGCTTTACCTGTTGAGCGTCTACCTGTTCCAAGACAACACATCAGTACAGGTAGTCCTCGACTTATGACCACAATCGAGCCCAACGTTTCTGTTTTAAGTGGGCCATTTGTTAAGTGAGGTCATTTGTTAAGTGAGTGTTGCCCCATTTTAGGGCCGTTCTTGCCACGGTCATTAAGTGAACCACTTGCCGGTGTTGTTAAGTGAATCTGGCCTCCCCGTTGGCTTTGCTCGTCAGAAGGTTGCAAAAGAGGATCACGTGACCCTGGGACACAACAGCGGTCACAAGTATGAACCAATTGCCAAGCATCTGAGTTTTGATCACATGACCAGGGGGAATGCTGCAAAGGTCATAAGTGTGAAAAATAGTCATAAGTCACTTTTTTCAGAGCTGTTGTAACTTTGAACGGTTGTAAGTCGAAGGATTACCTGTAGGTTTGCAGAGCTTGGAGGTTAAAACAAAAGGCTTTGGAATTGGAATCTGGACCTGGTTTGTTAAGAGTTCAGGGGAAAAAAATAGTTTCTTGGAACAAAAACAGCACACAAAAAATTAAAAATCAACCCCCTCCAAGAGTTAAGCTATTATTTTTTTAAAAAAAATTACTTTTAAATGCCTCTTTCTGTACCGCTAGTATTTCTAAATTACTATTTCACAGATGAACAAAGGAATAATGAGCATTTGCAAGTTATTTAAGATCCCCTCTTGATCTTCCTTCTTTTCTCAAAATATTCTGGTAATTAGCATCAGTTTAGAAGGGCCGTACTTTTCCAGCATGCTATCACCATGTTTGCTTAATATGTGAAACCATAGTTTACTTAATTATGCTTTATTAAACTTAATTAGCTCAGCCATACAGTGCATTAAAATGTTAATAAGCAGTTTATGCTAGCCAGATGCACAGACTCCGACGTCATAGTTGGAAACCATGATTTATATAATTTGTGAAACAAACTGACAGGTATGTTAAAAACAAGCTTGAATGCAAAACCTGGGTCCGGCAAATTTCCTTTATTTGAGGTTGCTGCACGTTCTCCAGTAATTTGTGCCACAAAATGGCAAAGTTACATTGAATTTGTCCTTTGCCCTTTCATGAAAAAGGAAGTCTCTACAAGAGGTGAAACTTAGCACTAGCAGAAAGACCCTTTCAATGGATGAACGAAAAGGGAGCCAGAATTTGTGTGGTTAAACAAGGCAGTTATTAAATGAGTCCTGTCTGGTTTTACAAGTAGACCTCGAGTTACGGCCACAATTGAGCCTCACATTTCTGTTGCTAAATGAAACATTTGTTAAGTGAGTTTTGCTTCATTTTACAACTTAAGTGAATCACTTGCATGTGGTGACCCAGGATCAGATACAAAAGCAACAAAAATCACAAAAAAACAGGTGAAGTCCCTTTAATTCCTTCAACTTGGCTTCAAAGGTCCAATTATCATTGACTGGAGAAAAAAATTCCCCCACAAACAGTTGTGAAAAGGAAGAAATGCCGTTCAAACTCGAAATACAAATAAATTATAAATAGAAAAAAACAACAGAAATCACATTGAAGCAATTAATGAGATAAGGCAAGATAAGGGCTTGAAGACGTCCACAGATATCGAAATACGCCAGAACTCAGATAAGAACTAAACGACTAGAATTATTTCAGGCTTTGCTTCCAGCACTGGGCCATGCACAGTTAGTTTGTCCTTTTAAACAGTCCTCACAGCTGCAGCCCATGAAGGGGATCAGGGCCCGTTCCTTCCCTGTAGACCATACCATTCATGTTTCTCCCTTATCTGCTCCTCCTTGCGTGCCCTAGGGCGAAGAGGGGATGGGCCTGAATGCCTAGCTGGCCTGTGCCCTTCCCCAGTTTCCTCCACAACTACCAAAACCACACTCCCACTCCCTGTCGGCTGTTCCTCGGAATACGACACTGCAGCTGTTAACAGTAGTACGGCTGTTACATGAACCTGGCTTCCCCATTGACTTGGCTTGTCAGAAAGTCTCAAAAGATGATCACGTGACCGCAGGACACTGCAGCCGTCATAAATATGAGTCAGTGGCCAAGCATCTCAATTTGGATCACTTGACCCTTGGGATGCTGCAACGGTCATAAGTGTGAAAAATGCTCCTAAGCCGCTTTTTTCCATGCGGTTGGTTGTCAGCTATGGAAGGACAAATATACCCCGATGCAATGGAGCTGTTGTAACTTTGAATGGTCACTAAATGTCAAGGACTAGCTGTGTTACATATTTGCCATGGTGGTTAAACAAATCAGTACGGTTAAGTGTGTCACGCAGTTGTTTAGTGAATTACACAGTTGTTAAGTGAATCCAGCTTCTCCCATTCCTTTTGCTTGTCGCAAACTGGTGGAGAAGATCGCCCATGGAGGTCCACATGACCTGCAGCAACCCTCCTTAAATACATGCCAGTTCCCAAGCACCCACATTTTGATCCTGTGACCACGGGGATGCTGGGATGGTCAGATAATCAGAGTTGGAAGGGACCTTGTAGATCATCTAGTCCAACCCTCCCGCCCAAGCGGGAAACCCTACACCATTTCTGACAAATGGCAGCCCAATCTCTTCTTGAAAGTCTCAAGTGATGGCGCTCCCACAACTTCTGAAGGCAACTTCTGTTCCATGGGTTGATTGTTCTCCCTGTCAGAAAATTTCTCCTTATTTCCAGGTTGAATCCCTCCTTGTTCAGTTTCCATCCATTGTTCCTTGTCTGGCCTTCAGGGGCTTTGGAGAATAGCTTGACCCCCTTCCTCCTCTCTGTTGGCAGCCCCTCAAATATTGGAAGATGCTCTCCTGTCTCCCCTGGTCCTTCTCTTCCCTGGACTAGCCAGGCCCAGTTCCTGCAATCATTCATCGTATGTTTTAGCCTCCAGTCCCCTCATCCTCCTGGTTGCTCTTCTCTGCACTCTTTCTAGAGTCTCAACCTCTTTTTATAGTGTGGTGACTAAAACTGGATGCAGGTGTGGCCTTCCTAAGGCTTTACAGAAGGGTCTTAGTACCTCCCTTGATCTCGATTGTATCCCTCTGTTAATGCAATTTAAGATTGCATTGGCTTTTTTGGCTGCTGCTGCACACGGCTGGCTCCTATTTAGCCGGTTGTCCACTAAGACTCCAAAATCCCTCTCACAGTTCCTGCTATCGAGCCTGGTTCCACCGAGTCTGTATGTGTACTTTTGGTCGTAAGTTTGAGGACCGGTCCCTTTTTTCAGTCCCCTTGTACCTTCAAATGGTCCCAATACAAAAGAGTTGCAATGCGGAGGGCTTTGATGGAGGAAGGAAAAAAGGCAGAAGAAAAATAACCAGATATGGCACAGTCTGATCCTTAAAACTGTGGCTGGAAATACAGAATTAAGGTACAGTTGAGCCCTTGTTAACACTTTTGACTGATGAAAGTGCCGAGTTTCATTTCATTGTATAATTAAGGGAAAATATCCGTGAGCTTTGTTTGATTCATGGTGATCCCGAGGCCGATCTGTGTATTTTTCTGTGTATTTTTCTTGGCAATGATGTGAAATTGCTATGCTGTTGCCTTCATTTCTGATTTCTTTTTTAAAAAAAGAAAAATTTCACTGTTTAGCTTATATGTGTTATATTTTTTTTCCTGGTGGTGGTCCCACGAATAGCCTTCCAGAATCTCTCCCTGCTTGACTTGAGAAAGTTAAGCAACCTTTTGAGAAAGGTTGATTGTGCAATTTATACATGGCATAATTTATGAAAGTGTGAAAAACAGCCTTAAGTCGCAGGTTTCAGGGATGTCCGCCACTTCGAACCGTCTAAATGAACAGTTACAAGTTGAAGACTACCTGTATGGGGTCTCTCGATTTCATTGAGGGCCGCATCAGGGTGGTGTTTGACCTAAGTGGTGCGTGTGTGTGTGAGTATCTCGACATCACTCATGGATTCCTTGTGTGCCCAATCACGCTTGGCCAATAAATAATTCTAATTCTAATGATGGGGGCACCTGCGGTGGCCCCAGGCAGGGCTGGGGGGGATCCTTCCTTCCTTCCTTCCCTTCCTTCCTTCCTTCCTTCCTTCCTTC